GGCATTCTCATGGATTTTGGTGGTAACACGAGCCACAGACATCATCACAGATCCCAGCTACAGTAGCCCCATGGACCCAGACATGGCCCTCGGCTTCACCTCAGGCCTAGACTTCAGCATAGCCTTGGTGGCCCCAGAAGCCACTCAAATTAGTTCGGCCCCAACAGCATCATGGACATAGATGCCCATTCAGCAGGCATCTGCTTGGACTTTGGTGGTATCAGGAGTTATGGACATCAATACAGACCCCAGCTTCAGTAGGGCCACAAACCTAGACATGGCCCTAGGTGGCAGCACAGACCCATAGATCACATGGCCCCGGGTGGCAGCATAGACCACCCATGTCAGCCTCTTCCCTACCTCCATCAAATCTTTAGTTCTGCTTCTCTCCACAGTGCAAGAACTACTTCACTTCTCCTTCTCTCCCATTTGCCCACCACATACCTGTTCATTGTAGTGGAACCCACCCATTCCATATATATATATATATATATGAGTGAGCCAGCAAACACTGCTCTTCCACACCTTCTGCTTCAAGGTTCTGATTTGAGTTCCCACCCTGACTTCCTTGAATGATGGACTGTGATCTGGAAATGTAAGCCAAACAAATTATTTCTCCCTCCAAGTTGTTTTGGTCAGTATTTTATCACCACAACAGAAAACATGTTTATGCCTTTAGTGTCAGAACAGAGGGAGGCAGATTTCTGTGGGGTTGAGGCTAGCCTGGTCTAAAGGCCAGCCAGGGACGCCCTGCCTGAAAAATAAAGGAGGAAGGAAATTAGAACACAACTCCTGACTGTGGTCACTATAGAAAAGAAAATGTGTGCAGAAGTAGGAGTTGATATCTAAAGGCAGATTTGCTTCACTGTTCTTCCTAACTGTTGTGTCCTCACCTGCCCATCAGTTCAGGCATGTGATTTAACTGTTTTCTAAGCTAAACAATGCGAATGATTTGTCTTTAATAACATCTGTCTTAAGGTTTCTTTAGCTGTGAGGAGACACCATTACCATAGCAACTCTTATAAAGGAAAGCATTTAATTGAGGCTGGCTTACACTTTTAGAGGTTTAGTTCACTATCATCATATAGAGAAGCTTAGTAGCATGCAGGCAGACATGGTGCTGGAGAAGGGGATGGGAAATCTACATCTTAATCTGCAGGCATCAAAAGAAGACTTGTGCCACACTGGGCATAGCTTAAGCCTATGAATGTCAAAGCCTGCCCCCACAGTGGCAGACTTCCTCCAACAAGGCCACATCTACTCCAACAATGCCACACCTCCTAATAGTGCTACTCCCTATGGGTCAAGCATTCAAACACATGAGTCTATGGGGGCCATTTCTACTCAAACCACCATGATATCAAAATTGTTAAAAGTATACCCTCTCAAAGATGACTGCTTCCAAGAGATACATTCATGGATTTTTAAAAAATGGAGACTGGAAAGCGAAGGGGAAGATATGGAGGGATAAAAAGAAACAGAGAGAGAGCAAGAGAGAGAGACCAATCACTTAGTTTTACTCATTCATAAATATAGCATAATATAATGTTGCAATTTCATCTGTGCTGTTGAAAAACATCCTGAAATTAGATAGGACTATGAAGCTAAAACCCTTCACCAGATAAATTTACCTTCTCATTCCCTTGTGTCAATTCAGCATAATATAATCATCACAGGAATCCGTTTTAACAATGTGAAATTTAATAATTCAAGTTCCCTTAGAATTTTCCACCACCATGAGTGGTAATTGGACTGTAATGATAAGTCTTTCTGCCGAAGCCACCTGAGCCCTGCTGCCACATTGGCACTTTCTGCTAGGCCACCTGAGTTCTTAACACGGGCCACCATGTTAAGGTCCCAAGTAACATACAGAAACTTATGTTAGGTAAAAAGCTGCTGGCCACTGACTAGGATTTATCATCTGCTAGCTAAGTCTTAATTATCAACCATAATCATAAGACTTATCTTATGGTGGATGCCGGCAGATTGTGTCCTGTCTTCCTGGTGGTCACATGGTGACTCCACAGAGAGGAGGAGGAGGAGCAAAAGAACAACTTCCTTCTTGTCCGTGCTTATATATGAGTCTGCCTGCTATGTCACTTCATGCCTGTATCACAAGACTTCCTTTTACTGCATTTATTTCCCAGAATACTCCTTGACTCCTAGTCCAACCTATCTTGCTTTCCTATTGGCCAACAGTACTTTATTCAACAACCAGTAAGATAAACATATAAACAGAAGGACCTCCGCCATCATTAGATCAGTACTTTAAAACCAGTATTGTGAGCTCCATGTAACCAATATTCTTATTATTTCAGTTTTGTCCAAATTCTACAATTTATACAATTGTGTTTCTCCATAACGGGCTGGCAATACCTGATACCAGCTAAATTATTTTATGGAATTAAGTTATCTTCAGGACTGGTGGTATCTTTCACAACATATTGCAGCTAAACAACAAAAAAAGGTTCTAAATAACATCATTTTTCAGTCACAGAAGAGCTTTCTGTGTTCATTACCAACTCATTCTATTTCACCTCCCTTTTGTAAATAAAAGTCATATAAAATTAACTCAAAGTATTCTTAGGCAACAATGTATCCTTTAAAAATTCCACAAAATTTCTTGTGTTACCTTTTCCTTTGCAGAGTTAGTTGGGTCTAGTACCCTAGTCTCTGATTCCAATGCTAGGTTGAAAAACCTTCCAACTGTTGGTAAGTGGAAAACTACCCATACTCCAGAGCTGGTTTCTCCACCAGCCCACCTTCAGTGAGTGACCACATCATCACCAGTCACCAAATGTGACACATTGTCACCACAAGTCACATATTCTCCCTTGCACACACACTATACCCTTTCTAAAGCCTGCACCTTCAGAGGTAGCATTTTATACCACCCCCAAATAAGTCTCTTATGTGACTTTGTGGTGTTCCTTGGCCCTCCAATCACTATATAAATAAATAGATAAATAAATGAATAGATAAATAAATAAATACCGTTTACATGAAGTCTTTTAAATATATATGTATAATTAAAATAT